AAGTCCTTATACTTCATCCTCTCAGCTACTCTATGGGAGAGATGTTATCACTATGCCCATTTTACAGAGGAGAGCCCTGAGGCACAGAGGTGTAAACCTTTTCAGAGATTCCACATCCACATCCTGAACCAGATCTCGAGGACTTCCTGAGACCCATGCTTGAACACACCTAACCACTGCCTGGACAGAGGGAGGCCTCAGCCCTGGCCCACACAGCCAGGGCACTCATTCTCTGAACGTGGGGGCCAGGGAGATTGATCTGACATGACTAGTCATGGGAAGAATCCCATGACTAATGAGTCTGACCTTGTGTTGAAAAGTCCTGGGTCTGTGACTGGAGGGTGGGGGCGCCCTGCCAGGAGGGCAGAGGGACTTGGCTGGGCTGGACACGGCACACACTCGGCACAGACTGGGCATTCAGGGCCACACTGCCTCACCAGTGAGTTCCTGCCTCCCTGCTACCCTTTCCCCACACTCCCTGGGGGTGAGGAGTCTCCAGCAGGGACGGTGAGACCCAGCCCCAGTCCTGGGGCTGAAAGACCCTCTCAGAGGCTTCCCAGTCACTCGGTCCTATGGCCCTCCACCTGGGCTCAGGGTCTCCGGGGCTCTACCGTCCTCACAGGGAAGACAGGAAGACCAGGGACACTTCACTGGGCTGTGGGAAAGCCAGGACAATGTTACTTTATGCTGCCAGACCCTCTGACCCCCATGGCCCGGTCAAGCTCAGCTGGGATCTACAGGGGAGCTCCTTTGCCTCTAGCTCAGAAATTCCCAGCAGCTGAGGTGTCCTCACTGCACTTCCAGCACCCTCCCTCGTGGGTCAAATCCCGGGACTAGCAGCTCCTAACCTGGCCCAGGCCGAGCTGCGGCTCTCCCAAACAACCAAAGGTGCCCCGCAGCCAGGACAATCCGGTGGCCCTGGCTGTCCCCTGAGGGCAGAAACTAGAAGCTCCTGCTCCATCCCCGCCCATCCGAATGCCTCCAGCCGAGGCGCTGGGACTTTACATGGGAGGGTCCTCTGGCTCCGCTCTGGGCTCTGGTCAGAATCACGAAACCACTCCGAAATCACACAGCCTGGGTCCGGCTCCCTGGGGAAAGCCCTACCAGCTGCGCTGCCTCCTAGCTGGCAGTCCGCGGGTTGCGGGGAAGTGTGTGAGGAATTAAGAAGAGGAGCCAGGGGAACAGGGCAGGGCTCCGTGGGGAGGAGGTGTCTGGCAGACTGGGAAGAGACCAGTCTCCTTCCTAGCCTTCTTGATTCTCAAGATCGATTTGAAGTCGCTGATTCAGTTTTGGAGTTAATCCCCAGCTGGTTCTGCCGCTGAAGTCCAAGCCAGAGAGCATCCCGGTCTGGTCCGACAGCACTAGGGGGTGCCAGGGGCCACTGGTGCGGTGGGTCACAGGGCACCAGGTGGAATCCGCCAGTACGCAAGAGCTCAGGGCTGGTCAGGTGGAGCCAGGTGTGGCTTGGCTCCCAACAGCAGGAGCCTAGTTCTGGGCCTAGGCCCCTATGCGGCCGCCTTGTTCTTGGGCAGGGGCAGTGATCCGGAGGCACCCGAGCTCTGGTGGTGCTCGGGAGAGAGACCTGGGGCCTCAGGGGGCGGTAAGCACAGGACCCGGAGGGCCATCTCAACTGGGGTGATGGGGAACACAGAGAGRGGGACAAGGGGCAAGGAACAGGGCCTACAGGGAGTGCATGGGGGTGAAGAGGCCACGGGGGGCCAGGTTGTACACTGAACAGAGAAGGGCCAGAGAAGGCAGCCTGGCTTCACCCAGTTGCTGGCGCTGGCAGCCTGTCCCAGGTGGCCGCTGGTGGCGTGGGCTGTGATTACAACAGGGACGCTGAGAGAAAAGCCAAGAATCTATGCGCCCGGAGCGCCGGCTGCGGCAGAGACCATCAGGGGTACTTCAGTGAAACCCTGCTTTCAGGCGCCATGAGGAGCCCCTGAACACAATCGCCAGCCAGAGGGACAAGGAAGCCTGAAAAGCCTCCATTCAGAGTGGGGGGCAGAGTGGGTGCACAGGGGAGGTGTGGAGGGGAAGGGCAGGGAACGGGACGGTGTGATAGAGAACGGGAAACAGGAGGGGGATGGAACATTGCGCCCGGAGTTGAAGGGCCAGGGCCTATAACAGGGCCAGGGTCTGGGTCTGGTCCTGGAACAAGGCCAACAGGCGGTCGCCCAGCAGCGTTGCAGGGACAAACCATGGCCAGCAGAGGGCAGAATGCGCCCGGTCCACCCGCCCGCCCCGCGGCGGGGATCCGCGCCTCCAGGCTCTGCGTGCTGGAGTCTAGTTTGCCAGGCTTCTCCCGACAGTGGAGCGCCCAGGCTCAGATGTCCGAAGGAGACCGCCCAGGCTCAGGCCAACCTCGGGGCTCATGACCTGGGGTTTCAAAGATTAAGCAAAGACAAGGGACCAAGGGCGTGTGCGGGAGAAGACGTGCAGAGGGGGCCAGTTGTACACTGAACATCTACTCCTGCATCCTCCAGGATACAGACACACAAAGATGCCGAGACATATAGAGACACAAAGCCACACACACACACACACACACACACACAGCCCTCTGGGAGACAGAATCATTCAGGAACTCAGAGTTAGGCGCACACATGTGACATGAAGATACACATAAGCAGAAAAACCTTCCATACACAATACAAGGGCAGAGACACACACAAAGACGTAGGCACCCACATAAAGTGCACAGACACACAGGGACACCAACAAAGACGTACCAAAGCACCTAAGACTCAGAAGCATGAAAGGATCTATAGATCCCCCCCACACACACACAAGGATCTAGTGTAATCAGAGTCGGATTCACACTTTTGGATCCCCAAAAGTGGCAAGGACACAAAAATATGTGCGCAGAGAAACGGGTGCACAAGTACGCAAGAACCTCAGGGGAGAGTGCCGACTCACACACACACACACAGATACCCACCAACACACACACAGGTACTGGGGTGGGAGCTCCTAATCCTTGACAAAGCCGGGCCCCTCCGCGGGGCCCCGCGGCACAAGGGGCCACTTCTGACCAAGCCTCCCGCAGGTTCCAAATCCGATCCGCCCTCTCGCCTCCAGCGGGGTCAGGGGACCCGCCCCCCATGCCCTCCGCCCCCGCCCCGCTCCGCGCCGCTGCTCCTCTCCGGGAGGGGCTCGGGCAGCCCAGCAGCGGCTCACCCAGCAGCGGCTCACGCCTGCCTCAGGGCTGCACCAGCCCTACTGTCCCTGGACTAGCAATGCGTTGGGGAGGACCCAGGGGCCACAGCCCGAGCATGACGCCCTGTGGCCCGACGCATTGACCTCCTGAGTCCAGAGCCGGTGCCAGGCCCGATGGGCGCGGGAGTCGTCAGCTAGGTCTAGCCGGGCTTTGGCTAGGAGATGTCTAGGCCCACTTGGCCCGTGCTGGCCAGGACACTGTCCCTGACCTGCCCAGCCTACCGACTCCTAACTGGGATCCTCGGCCGTCGCCAAAGGGTGCTTCTCCCAGTGGCCAACCTGATTTCCTTGGGGTGACCGAACACAAGTCATCCCGTGCCTTTATCTCTAGACCTTGGGGCCACCACTCCCTACCCGCATCTTACACGCCAAACCCTGCGAGGCCCAGCTCCAGCCCAGGGTCCCCGCCCCTGCCCTCGTCCCCTTTCCCATCCTCAATCATCATCGAAACTCTTCGTCTGAACCCGGGCCTGACCTTCCTCGCCTACCCAATGCCCTGCATTCTCGATCTCGGGGCCCCAATCCCTCCTTCAGCTCGCTCCTCCATCCGATCTCTGCCAGCATGAAGCTTTCCCGACTCCCCACCCGAAACCCGGTCCCCTCTCCCTCCCTGGGCCGGGCCTCCCTTAGGCGAGGCCGAAGCCAGCAGTCTTCTGCTCGCCTCGGTCCCTCAATCCCGGCAGCCAGCCCTCTCAGCGAACCGAGGTGTGTGGGCACCCGCCGCCGCCCAGGAGACGCCAACTTAGCCCCTGCGACCTACCTCTGCCGACTGTCGGGGTCCCCGGGCGGCCGCTGCCGGCTGGCGCCGTACCCGGGAGGAGCCGCTGCGCTCCCCGCCGTCCGCGCAGTCTGGCCTTGCTCGGGGCCACTCCTCTTAGCACTGAAGCTTTACAAAATATTAATAATAAAGAAGGAAAGGAAGAAAAAAAGAAAGCCTCCATTTCCCAACTCCCAAATCAATTTTCCAAGGAGGTGGGGCAGAGGATTGTTTCAAAGGCGACCCAATTTTCTTCGAGGGACCATCAGGGCGACCGGACGGGCAGGGAAGCCGGGGCCGGAGCTCGGGGCCAGGCGCAGCGCGGGACACTGGCTGGGGGCGCGGGGAGCCCTCCCGCGGGGGGGCGGCGACGGCACTATTTGACGTGGAGCCGCCGGCTCATCCCGGCGCAGGGATACGAGGCGCACCAATGAGTTCAAATGTCAGGAAGTTTGAGGAGGGGTGAGGCGGCTCCCGGCCGGAGTATCCCTCCGCCGCCAGCCCCAGCTCTAAACCGAGCCGCTCCTCGGGCGCACCATGGCACTGGAGTAGTGCGGGGAGCGCGCCCGGAGCCCCGCGGCCCGCTGCGCCCCGCCCGGGACCCCGCTGCGCCGCCCGCTCCCCCCCAGCCCGCGGGGCCGCCCCTGCACCCCCGCCCCCTCCCCCGCCCGCCGCGGCCGCCGCGGCGGCCGCCGCCTCCTCCCCGCGGCTCCGTCTGCCGCCGCCGCCGCAGCCGGGCTCCGGGGCTGACAAGCAGGTGACAGAGGAGCCGGCGCGCGTGGTTGAGAGTGCCCGGGAGAGCGCGGCGCGGGCTGCAGCCGCCCCGGCCCGCCCGCACGACGCCGGGGCCCGGGGCCAACGCGCCGCCGCTCCACGCTCGCCTGGGGCAGCGGGCGGCCCCAGCCGCAGCCCCAGCCCCGCGGGGGCCGCGCCTCCCCGGCTCCAGGGCCGCGGCGAGCGGCGGACCGGCGGGCGGGCGAGCGAGCAGCCCGGCCGGCGGGGTCCGCAGCGCGCCCGGCGTCCCATGGATATAGCAACAGGTCCCGAGTCGCTGGAGAGGTGTTTTCCTCGCGGGCAGACGGACTGCGCCAAGATGTTGGACGGCATCAAAATGGAGGAGCACGCCCTGCGCCCCGGGCCCGCCACTCTGGGGGTGCTGCTGGGTGAGTGCGGGGTCATAGCGCCTGAGTGGTTATGGGCAGGGGACAGGGGCGTCGTCCGCGGTGCACACAGGCGTCCTGGCCAACAGATGAAGGAAATGGGTGTACAGACATAGGGAGGAGGTACAAGGACAGGACTCCCGGAGTGATACCAGAGGGGCAACAAGCACGAGGGACAGAAGTGTGCAGGGACATCATTCAGGAGACAGGACAGGGCAGTTCCAGCCTCCACCCACCATCCTCCTTGGGCCTAGGTTCTAGAGCTACTACTCCCGGCAAGGGTAGGCAGCTGGTGACACGGGTGATGGAGGACCCAAGTAGTCACCTTGGCGAGCCTGGGAGAGGTGTCAGGTCGCCCTAGGAGGGGGAGCTTCTAGAAGAAAAATGTCCCGTGGGTCATCTAAACCACAGATTTGGGGTAGATTGGGGACAGAAGATCACGAAGCCACCGTGGGGCGTGTCAGCCTGCGTGCACCCCAACCTCACCTCGCCTGTCTCAGTCGCAGCCGGGCACCCTGCATCGTGCTCCTTCTCGCTTATATTAACACCAAGCGCTGAATCTCCGGAAAAGAGGAGAGCACAGCGCCGAGCCAAGGCTCCAGGCCCACGGCCTCTTTGCGCCGGAGCCTAAGGACTGGGACTCACAGGCTGGGGCTGCCAGAACCCTGGCTCGGCGGCTGGGAGACCGCAGGCAACGAGCGGCGCTCCCGGGTCGCCGTCGCCCTCGAAGCGGAGGGCTGTGGGCACCGCGCGACCGGGACGCCGGGGTTGGGCCGGGCTGCGCTGACGGCCCGGCTCTCGCCCTGTGCGCTGCAGGCTCCGACTGCCCGCATCCCGCCGTCTGCGAGGGCTGCCAGCGGCCCATCTCCGACCGCTTCCTGATGCGAGTCAACGAGTCGTCCTGGCACGAGGAGTGTTTGCAGTGCGCGGCGTGTCAGCAAGCCCTCACCACCAGCTGCTACTTCCGGGATCGGAAACTGTACTGCAAACAAGACTACCAACAGTAAGCGCCTCTCGTCCTCCTCCTTCCCCGCCGCCGCCCGGCACTCGAGCCCGGCCGGCCCCCTGCCGGGCAGGGCCCGCGACCGCCCTCCCGGCTGTGCGATCCACTGGGCCCAGTAGCTGCGAGGGCTCCGAGGGCTCCGAGGGCTCTGCAGGCTGCGTGTCTGGGGGCTGTGGTGGACCATCCCCACCGGCCCGAACTGGTGCGGTGGCCCTTAGATGTCATCAGTTTGTCCCAGAAACCTGTGCTGAGCCGCTGAAGTGGGGTACAAGACAAGGCCCTAGGCGGACTGGCGCATTTGATGCCCGAGTCCAGGGAAGGGGCCTGGTCCCCCTGAAGCCTGAATTGGGGACCAGGAATTGCATTTCAAAGGAAGGCAGTGCTTTTGGAGCCAAGCCTGTTGGTGTGCTACCCAGCCCGTGTGTGGGGATTTGGGATTTCTGGAGCAGGAATGTGGTGTACTGGCCACTGAGCTGCCTTAGCAGTCCCCATACGGGTCCTGCTAGGCTCCTGTTGTACTTTTTGTCCCTGATGGAGAGAAATGGTGTCCATCTTCTGCAAACCGTTCCATGCGGGAGTTTTGCTTCTCCCCATCCCTTGGCTAGAGAAGTAGTCTAGGAAGAAGATCTCAAGAGGTGGCAAGCTGCAGTCCAGTTAGGGTGAGGAACTGACCGAATCAGCAGTTCCCTGATGGCCATTTTTCTTACAGTGTGTGTTGGAAAGTGGTGGCCGGCTCTGTCCTGGTATTGTCCAAACCTCAGATTTAAGCCAGAGTGGCTTGAGCCCCATCTACTGACTTTGTGTTTACCTGTGACTGGATTTATATGGCAAGAGGCCAGGGACAGAGAGTATAGACAGGCCTTTTCTTTTGACCTGCTGGGTTTTGCGCCTGGCAGTACAATTGAAAAGGGGAAAGTGAGGAGCAAGAGTCACGAGAGCTGTGGGGGCCCCCAGAAAGGTATTGCAGAGAGATGTGGGTTCCTGGGAGAACTTTTAGTGGGTGCCCAGAAAGCCGTCTTGCATGAGCTGCAGGGTGGGTAGGTTGCTCAGGTGCTTTGGTGCTCAGACAGGGCTGTGAGTGCCCAAGCCTCTTGGAGAGGCTGGGCTGCCTGTACCTAGTGCTGAGTGTAGACTTCCTACTCTGCCCAAGGATTGTCCCAAAATCCAGAGCCTGGTGGGGAGGGGAGCATCCTAACTGCCTGACTGAGGCCTGGAAATAGTGGGACTGCACACCAGAGTCCTATAGAGGGAACAGGTCCTACCATAAAGGCACTGACTGGGTCCCCTGCTCTGGGGAATGGGCAGGAGCTGCTTTTGGCTCCTTGCTCCTGTTCACTGAGGGCTCTGTGGGTAGGAATTGGGGTTGGTAGAGAGAATCAGCTCTTTTGCAGATTCTACAGAAATACAACTGAGGCCTCTTCCTTTGTATGGAGCAACTCAGACTTAAGCCCAGGGCCATTGGTCAGGTCTTTGCTGTATGGTGCCCTGGACTGATATGATTCTAGTTCTGGGAGAGGGAAGGGCCACCACTAATTTCACCCGAAGTCAGGCATAGAGTAGCACAAATAAAATGATGTAGATGTGGTTGGGGGCTCTGGGCTGGCCCAGAGAGCACCTCCACAGGGTRCCCCAGCCTCCAACACACCCACACCCTGTCCCCTGGCCTTGCTCTGCTTACCTAACCCTGAACTTGGCTCTGGCAATGCCACTTGCACCCAGTTCAGCCACTGGCTTCAGCAACTCAACATGTGGGGCCAGGAGGCTGGGGAAGGTAAAAATGGGCCTCTGAAACATTTGCATGGTTTAAATTTTTTTTAACATATTGGAAAGACTCTTTCCAACCTCTTGTATGTATTTATTCCCATGATTATGATAGGGCTTCTCTTCAAAAGAAAGCAAGCATGCTCCCTAGTTCTGTGGGCACAGAACCGGAGTCACATTTGAGCTAAATATTCCCTTAGAGTGGAGCCGACTAACCCCCTCATTTTACAAAACAATTAAACATAAAACATTTGCAACTGCTTTGTCCAATGTATATTTATTTTTGAAAGAAAAGAAAAAAGTCCCCTAAGAGCCTGCTTCTTCAGTGCAGTCCCATGTGTTGGGAATGAATTTTGCCCAGGAGGAAATCTCAGGTCCCAGTGCCGTTCTGGGTCCTGTGAGGCTGAAGCCTGGGGGAGGGAGGGGTTGGCATTATTCTCTTTGCTCATAGTCCCCTCCTACGTCTTCCTCTTTCTTCCGATAATGCCAATTAGGGATCTGCACTAGGCCTGGCAGGCCGAGGCTGTGCTGGGGCGGGGTGGCTGCGTGGGGGTTATCAAGATAATCTTGGGCGCAAATCCCCCAGCGAGTCTGGAGACAGCATTTACCAGGGAGAGCAAGCGCAGCCAAGCAGGAGAGAGCTCACAATAAAGCAGTGCTCTATGCACAATAAAAATATTTTTATTCTCGATTTCTTTTTTTTCTTTGAGAATCGCAGATGCATATTTATTTCATCTGTGCGCAAATGCTTTTCAGACGGGAATCCAGGCAAGTGGGCTCAGAAACGTGCCTTCTTCATTTTGTTGAGCCTTTGCGTCAGCGGTAGGGGGAAATTAACACTCCCCCAGGCCGCCCCAACTTTTGAAAAACTGCGTCCTCGTCCTCGCCTGGGTGCGAGGAGCTGCAGAGTTCTTTCGTCCTTAGAAAGAAAGAGGTTGCCATTTCTAGTTAAGTGTGTGTTCCTCCTTTCGATTTGTTCTCAAAGATCCCGGGCACCCAGACGCGCAAAGTTATTTTACGCACCACGGGGGTGATTAATGGACGTTTGGGCACATTTAGTAGCGTTTGATAAAATCCTCTCATCCGGCCTAGTTGAGCAAAGCACATTGCGGCTGCGCAGTTTGGGCATTTTCACTCGTAACTCGAAAAGTCTCCTTTTTCTCCCTGAGTGTTTTTGGGGGGCTCCTTCTAATAATAAAACAAAACAAACAAAAACCAGCTTCAGCCTTTTTTGAACAAAAAAAACCCGGTTAGAACGGGGAGGAACCCGGCCTCCGCATGATCGCCAACACCTCTCCGCGTCCTCCACCRGAGAAGGTTAGGAAAAGACAAAAATGACAACATCCCCCCCCCCCACCAACATTTTTTTCCTTGACCAGATAGAATTATGTAACTCTCCTTTCTTGCCGCCTGTCGCTGTCTGGAAAGGCTTTCTATCCTGAGGAGGTGGCAAATTCCTGGAGGAGGCTCCGGAAGGGGGGAGGGTCGGTGGGAGAGTCCAAAAATCTGTCACAAAATGGAGTCTAATCGCTTGTAATACAGCTCCCAGGTCTGGCGACCCAGCCTCGTTGGTGCGCGAGCAGGAGCCTTTGTGCGCGGAGGGACGCGGGGCTCCACCCCGGCGGCGGCCAAGGCTCGCGGGGCTTCCGCGGCGGGGCCTGCACGGGCACCGAGCCTCCAGCAGCTCCGCTGACCCGGCGGAGCCCGCCAGGGTGCCCTTGGGCTCGCCTGCCCAAGTGGGGTGCCCCCACACCACGCGACAGAAAGGGGCATCAGGGCCTTGTCTGGGTTTCACCCAAAGCCTTTGAGTCCTGGGGTGGCGTTTTCCAAATCCCCCAGCTGCGGTGCTCCCGGCCCTACCGCTCTTCCAGGCGCATTCCTTTCCTCACACCGGGAAGGGCCTTCCTGGGAGGCAGCGTGCCGGTGTGGCACTCGGGGAACAAAGCCAGACGCCAGCTTTTTCTGGCTGCTGCTTTTCCCAGTTTGGAGGCCTCCCGCCGCCTTACTGTAGGGGGCCCGCTCACGGTTCCCAGCGGGCACCCCAGCCAGCATGGTCCCCCACAGGACCAGCTCAGGACCGCAGACACCCCTGTGCACAGCCGGGAGAGAGGGTCTTAGACACCAAGGGGCTTGGAAGGAGGAGCCAAGGCTTTGCCTGACAAAAAGACCTGCGGGGTGCTCTCCCTGGGGGCCCAAGGAGGAGGGACCCTCCAGGGGGAGGTCTGCCAGCCCAACTCTGGGGTAAAGCACTCTGCATTTAACCCCGGTGCCTGGGCTGTGGGCAGGGGCTACAGGGCGGCAATCCTGAGGCTGCAGTCACCGCTGCTAGGAGGAGGTATTATTCACCGCTGTGACTGGCTCACCCTCCCTTCACCGCACTGGTGCTGGTGAGCTTTATTTGCTTGCCGAGTTTCTCTCAAGTCGGGGGAGTCTACTCTGAGGTTCTGCTCTGGGGTGTACAATTGGCGATTCTCCGCTCCTTCCTGTTCAGAACCCTGGCACCTAGCTTATCCTCTTCTGTACATGGGGACTTAGCCACCTGGGGCAGGGGAGTATTCTTATAGGGACTCCAGATAAGGTGTCCCAAAGGACTTGGCATCTTGCCTGGCAAGATATGAACACTCTGGAAAATATTATTACTATTGTTATCATTGGTGGCAGGAATGCCTTGTTTTCAAAGACACCTACCGTACTACAGCGGGTTCCATGCCCAAGGTCCAGCTGGTATGCTGGGCTTGTCTTGACCCAGAGATGGTGAGGGGCATTCCTTCGGGAAACCATTTCCTTTGCCTCATAGGGCACTAACTACGAGGGTCCTGCCCCTCACCATGAAAAGCACTTGAGACTCTGAGTCAGGGCTAGGTTCACCTCCCAGCCCCAACACTCAGTGCATGTTGATCACCACTGAGTAGCTACCCACTCTCAGCCTGTGTTCTCCATCACCAAACTGGGGGTGCCATCACTCTGTAGGGTGGCTGTGAGGACTACGGGCACTTAGTGGGGCTTCAGGGAATCCCTGATCTCCTCCCACACCTCAAGAGGGGTGGGAAAAGTTCTGATTGAGGTTGAGGACAGATACCAACAGTGCAGTGCATTAGCAGAAAGGTCAGGCAGCAGGGGGCCCCTCTGTGCTGCTGGATCCTCCTTGAGGGCATGGAGTTGGGCTCCACTGGGACACAGTGGGCATCTCCAGGGTCTATGTATTGCTTGGAAATGCACACTCAATAATACGATTTCAT